TTACTCTCCAGTTGTGCCCGTTGATAACCACTGTTTGTTTAGACGCTTTCTACAAATGACGGTAGGATGATGATGATCGTTTTCCCATTGATGTTGATCATTCAACTATCGCATCAGCAAACATACATAGAAAATCCCTACTATCCACCACATGGATGTTTGAATTACGGTGTTTGTACGAATCCTCAAGAAAGACTAGCAGATTATTATCAAGTATGGCGACGAGTATTATTACGTATGTGCATCAAGCGACTGCGTTTGCAATAACGGAACGAGCGGTACTTCATGCAGTGTAGGTAGGTAACTTCTGAAAATTAGAGAAATCAGTTCTTCGGGAAGAAAAAACCGTTAGGGTAATACACATGTGTCAAACCGCGCGTTTATGATACAACCTTGTTCACTGCGGATGAGGAGGTCTGTCAGTGAGACTGGGCTAGGCGACAGTCCGTTCTCAATCGGAGCGAGTAAGCGACAACACTGGTGGAAAATGACAGACACGAAGAGTGTTGTCGCTTGCCGAATGAAAAGAAAACGGGCTGGCGTTCCGCCAAAACCAATCCTCTCTGATTACGCCCATTCAGCCGAGCGAACAAGGCCTGTGTATTCAACAGCCGCCGCGATAATGATTTTCAAGCACGTTTCGCACACTTGCAATTGAAACGCTGGATAGCAACCCCCCTATTGGCAGTCTTATCGTACGGGTTCTCCGGAGTTGCTTCTCCCATGAGAGCAAATCGATACCCTGCCGTCCTCGATGGCTTACCGGTTGCCCCCTCGCATCATCGCGTGCTAAATGCCACCCATTAGAAAAAGCAAGAAAGGCATGATAACCTGTTCGTTTATGACAGACAGTGCTCTTCGGAAACTCACTTTGCAAACTGTGATACGATATTCTGACGAGCTATTGCACAAATACACCTGCATTAGTTGTGAACTGAAGCAGTTTCAAAGCATATCCCACCCTGTGCAGTGGACTGCTTTTGACTGCATGTGTTTCTTTCTGACAAAGTATGAAAAACAGAATAGCTATGAGCAAGAGCGCAGTCAGCAAGAGTAAAAGGATTACGAAATCGTCCAGCGACACTTCACGCAACAAAGGCGCAGCAGTTGACCTAGAGGCTGTTGTTATGTAGGCACTAATGTTTCACACAGATCCCAATGTCCGCAAGCCACACACTTTCAACTGGACGCCTTTTTTAATGGTGGTACACCCACATTTCGATATTGAGAAGGGCAACCGTCGCCGCGCATCTCCATATTGAGCCGCGGCGACGGTTGTGTTTAGGTGAGATAGTGCCCTTTTTGGGTAACTCGAATGACGCCTTAGCTTAGCCCAAGACAAGATGACAGTTGTATCAGATGCAGATATTCCAAAAAAGGGCATGTTTCTAGGCCATGTTTCGAAGATACCGTTCGCGCGCTTAAAACGTCGCGCAAAGTATTCAGATTAGAAAATCAACCCGCTGCTGTTAGGGTGTCTGGGAAATTTTGAGATAATTCCTTTCTTTCAATTTGGAGGACTGTAGCGAGCGAATACGCCCAAAACTTTCACTGTTTACTTGCGGAACACTGGGGCGTTTCAGGGAGATTGGGTTTGGCGCTCAAGCTTACTGTCCAGCAATTACGGTTCCCTGCCACCTTTCACCATTGGTGAGAAACAGGCTGGAGCCCGCAGTAAATCCACCCCTGCAGAACACCTGAGCGCCCGCTGAGAACAAAGCTATATTAATGTTCTTCATTAGTAAAGCGAAGGCAGACCCCACTTGCCTAAGTTTGAGAGGCCAACGAAGCGACCAAAGGCGTTGGAGATCATTAAAACGGGTAGGAGACTGATAGGATAGGATTATATTCTTGATATTCTTTACTCGAAAGTGTTCGGGATAGGAGTGCCTGGGGCGTTTGCAGACCCCAGGCACTCCTATCGAACACTTTCGAGTAAAGAAACACTGCGGCTCTGGACTGCACCACTTGGTCCAAAGAAAGATTTCTGCATGCCAGCTAGTAGCTGACTCTGATTCCAACTATCTCTTTCTGTACAGAAGGGGCTTCCGGGAGGGTTGCTTCACTGCTAGGCAGACCCACATGAGATAGGTCGACAGGTGGTTTAAAGACAATCTATAGTATCGGTTACGAGATCCTCAGAACAATGTTCCGAGTTCCTTGGAAGTTATTCTTCAAGAGTAAGGTGTTCCTCATTTTGCTATCTTTTTTAGTTGAGGACCAATGTGCTACATTAGACCCTTGTCCCAGCGTCGGTGGAAGTCACTACACATGCACACCTGGCGTTGGCTCGTACAAGTGTGAGTGCGCCAGCGGATACACAGGAGAAAATTGCGATGAAAGTGAGATTTCCTGGTTTTCTCCTTTTTCATAGTGTTTACTTGTGTTGTTCTCCTTGTCACAGATATTCCGATGTGTACAGTCACGATCCCTACAAACGGTAGGGTGTGACAACGCGTGTCTGGAGCGCTGCCAAGGCGGCTTTCTCACCAGTGACCCATCCAGAGTCCACATCAGTTGGCGGGTAAGTTCTCTTGGCTGCGCTCCAATTCACACCCGTTCAAGCGCCTACACGCTCTTTCGTTCGCGGCAACCATGACCGCATCTGATTCTGAAGGGGATCGTCACCGTCAGCGACGCTGCGTTGCATATGCAAAATCCAGTGACTGTAGATCTCTTCTGCTGGATTTCTGTGGCATTCACGGAACTGGCGCATTTAATTTTACGCGCGCTTTTCGGATACTGTACACCCCAAGCAATCCTAAATCTATAATGTATATGAGAAGGCATCAAAAGTAGTTGCGCAATAGAAGTGACGCAAAATTTGCTAAGCCATTCATCGCTAAGGAATTTTCATCTATTTCCTGACGAATTAATAATGGATTTATACGTACATCTTCCACTACTTCAGGCGCAGACTCACCCTGTATAGTGAACAAATGTCAGCATGGAGGAAACTGTACCACACCCGATAATATTAACTTTCACTGCACGTGTCCGACAGGCTACATGGGCCCGAAATGTCAATGTGAGTTTTAAAGATTTCTCGGACACCATTCACTGAGGAGTAATAATTGGCTCATGTAAATTATATGACTAAGTTCGAAGTTTGTAAAAATAAGTATGGTACAGGACGTTCAATATCGAAGGTACGCTCGATATCCCACATAGCGGCGTGGCTACCGCTACTCTAATTTTGAAATTGCCGCGGGGTATGCATTTCATGGAATATTTTATCTGAGGTCATTCTGTTTCTTGCGCTTGACAAAAAGAATGAGGTTGCAAATGTCCCGAAGTGTGACAATTAATTCCAGCAGAAGGCGTCGCAGAAACTGCACATTCCAGTGCAAGTTGCAGCCACGCCCCTCCCATCTCCGGGATATGGTTTTCGATCTTATTCCACCCCGTCCGGCAGGATTCGTGGGGCCGAAATGTCAGTGTTGGTTTATTGTGTTGTAAGAAGTGTGTATTCATATGAATGACTTTAAAATTAATGAAAATAACCATTTGATAATTTTTTGGGTTGATGAGCTGTAGGGTAGTAGAGACGATGACGGCTGCCGTGTAAGATGACGACTACACAAACGAACCTGAGAATGTGGTGATAAACAAAAAAAAGGCACTATTTACCCCTTACTGCCCCAGTCATCCGAAATCAGGCCAGTTCCTGACCGACTTTTTTCTCCCCGGGCATAATTTGCTGAAAAACTTGGCTGCAGGGGTAGTGGTGACCGTTTGAACACGATATCTCATCCGCTCAAACCGAAAGCCTACTGGGCTGCCGGCACCACGGGGCACCGGCCGCAAAAATACCCCAAAATCATTGGCGCTGTGGCCGCTTCGGCCCAGGAAGTTTCGGGTTCTGACGAATGTTGATATTCGTGTTCAAGGGGGCCCACCTCCACCACAAACATTGAGCAAAATCTGCCCACGGAGAAAAAAGTCGGTCAGGAACTGGCCTGATTTCGGATGACTGGGGCAGTAAAGGGTAAATAGTGCCAAAAAAAAATGATAGTATCTCTAGATCGATAAAGATCGATAATGGCAATGCCATCCGAAGACAGTTTACATTACCCTGCCAATACCATCTCAAGAAGAAGTAGTGACATCGAGAAATTTTTTCCGCTTGTTGATTTTTCCTGTTTCACGAATGTGATGTGCCCATGGTACCAATTACCAGAGGTGAGAAGTAGGCATAGATTACCGCCACCAGCACTGTAAAGAAAATAAATGAAATCTAGACAGTGAATACTCAAGTTTTGAGTGTAAGAAATATTCCAGTCGTGGATCCCTGCCCACCGAGCACTTGCCAGAATGGCGGTACCTGCGAGGCGATATATGATGGAGCGGACTTTTTATGCACTTGTACGACATATTTCGAGGGAAAGAACTGTGAATCGTCGAGACTAATTTGGAGTACGTTTCATAAGGTTTTTGATTTTCCAGTACCGAATTAAATGCTGGACAGCACGTCCTGTAACATGATCGCAATCACGTCTGTGTGACTAGTTAGGTCAAGAACCAGAATGCACAAAGGATGAGCGTGGTGGTTGTGATACAAGCTCCTTCTGAGATGCTCCAGCGCAATCGCGCTCCTATTCAGGGACATGGGACGATTCAAAGGCAAATCATTCTGCTTGTAGCGCTTGATAAGTCTCTGTAGTACAGTCTTGCTGGCTATGCGCGACGTTTCAGGTGGGGCTGGGTTCGGAGGGGCATCAGCCCATTTCAGCCCCCAATTTCCGAAGCTCGGTCCCAACTATTTTCCATGTTGGCACATTCATCCTCCGAGACAACTTCGTTTTAGGCCATTCACTCTTTCAGACCTTGAAAGCCTGGCATTGACAACTCAGGATCCTTAGAAGCGCTGCACGGAATTCCCAGACGGGTTTCATTCCTCCAACCTCTCCCTTATGCGCATGTCGTAAGTAGCTTTGAGAGGGAAAAAGCAGACCTGAATACAGTCATAATCCCTGCAAACGATAGGGTGTTGGACGGAGGCGTGGCTTGGAGCGCAGCCAAGGTAGATTTCCTTGTAGTATCCATACAACGGCATCTTTGCTGGAAGAATGGTGTCTTGGCTGCGATCCTGCGTGTCGCTTCACTCTATCATTTGCTGGGACACGACTGTACATAGCTGTCAAGGATCTGATGCACAATGTATGAATTAGGATCCTTCCACATAGCGCAGTCAGATGACATATAGTCCTTCCCCCCCGCTAACCGTGGTACGCGGAATGAGCGCATCAGGAGGCTTGGAGTGGATCGACGATGCCACTTGAGCCGAGAACAATTCGTGGAAAAGACTGCCCTGGCTGCGCTTTAATTCGCGCCCGTTTCTCTCGAACTGTGATAAAGTTGAATACTGTAGGAGGAAGAGGCGATAAAAACTGATCATGGATGGTGCTAAAAAATTCTTCTGCCCCGAGTGACTTGGTGAGCGGCTACCCTGGTCATGTAAATCGGACACTTCTCAATCCATATAGTGTTGTTCGCTGCGGACGGTTGGGCGTGTCAGGACAAGATGATTTTAGCGCGTGCCAAAGCCGTTGCTCCACCACTTGTTACTGCGAGCAAATGATATGACTGCATCATACGTTCGTATTACTCGTTTTCTACCAGTTTTTGTCGCATGCGCTCTTCAGCAAAAAGCAGAGAACGGCTTTGACGGGATGACACACTCATACTTCCTAACACGCCCAACCGTCCGCAGCGAACTAGAGTGTATCTCTTCAAAGTCCGCCCAACGGTCGTGCCTGGGTTTCAAAGTCCTTGGCGTAGAACGTCACCTGTAGGGTCGAGGCATGAAAAACCAGTTGTGGACCATAGTGACCTTTTCTGAAAAGCTGGACGAGTGACCTGTTCCGCCATCACAGGACACGTTCTGAGAACCTGCACGAAAGTGGCCAACAATGTAAATAAAATGAGAAAGCTTACTTCAAAAATGACATAAGTACTAGCAAGCGTTCTCGATGCTCAAACTAAGGATCAGGGATGCCCTGTCTTCGTGACCATAGAGCTGAGAAGGAGGTGCTTCTAATGATCATGGATGCACGGGCTTTAAACTTTGCCTTTGTCCATTTACTTACTGCTGTGCCAAGTAAAAGGCGATGATGCCTCCTCGAGTGTTTCCATTGCTCCTTTCTGAAGATGTCAGTGGGTAAGGAGATTGGTCCGAAGGGCCTCATCGGTCCATCAGGCAGTGGCCCGCTCCAGGTCGCACCAGCACATTCTCAACCATTATGTTGTGCTACATGCACATCACACGAATTCTTAGTGATTTTTCCTGTTGTTGGATTATCTTGTCACTAGTAGATTAGTAAAAACCTTATTAATGTACAATTATTGCAGCTATCGACACTGTAGATGATGGATGCTGGAGATATAATCCCATGCTTGATAATTCAACTTACTATAAGTTGTTCACTACGCCAGAACCAATGAGCGTTACAAACTGCAAAGCGAATTTGATGGCTGAAGTTCCACCTTACACCATGTTCAGTAAGTTAATCCTTCATCCTTTACTGGAGACCCAAAGACATATTTAATGAAAGGGAGCGGAGAAGTTCATGCTCCTATGTAGCTAACAACACTACCTCAGTTCACATCCAGTTACAATGAAACCCGTCTCTGGTTTAAAAGTGCCCTGGAAACCTTGGAAAGGGCTGCAAGTTCAGCACTCAGCTTAGTAGGACCGCAGGTTACTATCAGTTATTTAGGATGGGTACAGCATCGGGATGGGTACAAATTTAGTGTCAGCATAACCCCCATCCAAGAAAGCAGGGTGCAGTGGGAACTTCTCAAGCACTCTCGAAATTGAAATTCGCGCCTAGTGTTACTAAAGGGTACTGGAGCAGGTTACTCAACGGGTACCCCTTTTTGGAGAGCAGTTGCCTTTTCTTTGGACAACTGTATTATTTTCGCTGCGCTCCCGACGCCCACCCCTCCTTCACACTCAAATACCACCCCTTCCCTGTGAGTTCTACAGCGATGGCGTGTCCCTGCTTCTAGCAGACGAATAGCCCCCTGAATAGATCTGCACAACCATGGTGTACGATGAGCGGAATACAATTTTTTAGCACATGTTTTCATATTTTTGTTTAAATAGATAGAGAGTTGAGGATAGTCATGTACAAATCCCTTGAAGAGCGGAAGTGATGTCCGTGTTCCATAGCGACTATGTTGCATACAAAACCGAAATATAGTTCATTTTAGCTCTTTCTGGAGAAAACTGCTACTTGTCAAACTCTTCTTACTTGAATGAAACGATATCTCCTCCGGATGAGCATTGTCAAGAGAAATGTCCAAGCTCCACTACCGAAGTGTGTGGGAAATCAGATCGCCGTGCTATACTATACGGCTCTAACTTTGCTGGTGAGTACCTATGCATTTTAAGTTGCCTTATAATCCATGGAATTTGGGCACATCGTAGAAAATCATTGTGAGTCATCAGATATTTAAGAAGTTTCGAAGGAATTCAGGTAGAGCCGCAAGTCACATCTCAGCGATGGACTGGACGTGGCTGGATACTTTTGTAATTTTGTCTGCTCGATTCAAAGGCGTAAAGCAAGATGACTAAGTAGTTGCTCAAAAAAAGTAACAGGGTATCATACTGGAAAAGTGACGAAAGACTAACTTGAAGGGCCAAAGACTTGCGGAAAAACCGTGGTTCTGCTCGGCATTGGAGGAGCATTTTTGAACGAGCTTCCCGTTGGCATCGTCCAACTCGCTTTGATAGATACGGTTGCACGTACAGTCCTCATCATTACGGTACTGTCGGGGCGGCACAGCCGCGCTGCACTGTGACGCGACAGCGGCTGCGGCTCGGTGACGGCGAATCAGCTGATTTCGATGGAATTCGGCTGCAAATTCCCACTTTTTCAGCTCTTCAAGCTTCTAAAGTGGAAGGTGAGTTATTCTGACCAATTTTGAATTGAACTGACTCCTTTTGCACCGCCAACAGGACGTAATATGCGCGGACTTGTATGTATCTCCATATCAAAGTATCAACACATTACAATGTTCATTTTACTACACGAAGTGATACTAATATCAGCGTCGATGCGACTGTACGGCCATTTGTTGGCAAACTGTTGCGGTGGGCGTGTTGTAGCTTGATTAGGCGCTAGAACGATGTCCTTGGTTGGGGAATGCGCCACGCAGCGCCTGCCGAGGTGCACAATATTCCTTCGCACTAGCCGTACTGACCCTGCAAGCCTTGTCGCGCGCACACAGTCCTGCGATAATGTGCGGCAAGTCCCTGGCCGTTCAATGTCCAAATTCAAACGGCTAGGTGTGACAGCTCGTCTCTGGTGGCGGTGGCGTCGCTCGCCACGCCCACCTGCGCGCATGTTACGATTGTCTTGTCACATGCCCGTCGACGCTCATCAGTAATCGTCCGCAATGGAATCTGGAATGTGAAACAAGAATTCATTGGCATGTTCCCTGAGAATGACTATGATGGCGTTGAGTTCAGAGTTTGACGCTAATGATTGTGAAGACAATCTCACTCTATGTAATGCTGATAGGGGACAAGGAATATGTGTAGACACGAAAGGTGGGCACATATGCAAATGCGATCCGTCCTATTCAGGAACAGAGTGCCAGACAGGTAAATTACACACTTGGGCAGTGTTCAGACTTCGCGATGACGCACGTCGACGCGCTGTGACACGCCAGACACGCTATAATTGCAACAGCGCTCCAATCCTATAGACGCTAACGCAGCTGCAGGCGGGAATCTGTCGGCGTCGCCCCAGTGGCCAGTGCCGATCGATACGAGACTGCGTAGTTGGCAACCTCCCCATGCTGTATCAGTACATAAGTGGGCGGCGCCGATCGATTCCCGTCTGCAGCCGTTTGCGTCTATAGTCTTGGAACGGTGTCAATATTGTAGCGCGCTAGGGTGCGTGTCGCGAAGTATGAACACTGCCTTACTGATTGACATTCGATCTATCTATTTTACATGTCTCACTTTAGCGAAAGTCGATCCTTGTTTAATCAATCTTTGTTCTGCAAATAGTAGATGCGTTGCTGATACATCTTCTTTTACATGGACTTACTCTTGTAAATGTGACCCTGGTTACAGTGGTAATTATTGTCAATGTAAGTTATGATGTGATGGTTGATGAATGCATTCTGCCGTCTGCCTTCAAAGCTGATCCACGAAATTTACAGATGCATCGGCATGCATTACCAATCCCTGTCTGCATGGTGGTACATGTGTAGATGGAACCAATGGAGCCTATACGTGTGAATGTCTTCAGTACTACAGTGGAACAAATTGTGAAAGTTAGTAATTTATCCCCATATATTGTCAGAGGCCACTGGGAGTTATTAGAGTTCGTGGGGCGGGACATTCAGAGACAGGCGGCACGACTGCTGCAGCCTATTGGCGCCAACGTGACTGGGAGGCTGAATGGGTTGTGACCGAACGCTACCAGATACGATGGCAGGACCGCCCGCCGCCAACAGTCGTGCCCACTGCCTTCAAAGAACTACTCGTGCAAAAGTGGGACTCGCGCGACGAGAGCACTTGCCTCAGTTCACAGGGAGGAAGAGTTCCAGGGTCTGTAAAAGAGAGTTATCCTTTTCGGATGACGTTATCGCCCTTTCATTAATAGCCCTTTAATTTCCCTTCCTCCTCCCTCCGAGTCTATAGGCGCCGGCCCTCTGGTCAGGTGTGAATTTTAATGCAAAGGTTGGGAGGGGGGAAACG